ATATGTGGTGTACTTAGTTCGTGGTATTGATATATTCCCCTAGAACATTAAGTGATTGATTCGCAAAAATATTGTTTTTGACAATTTGACACATTTTTTTTTTATTGACCCACTCTAAAAAAAAAAAAAAGAAAAAAAAAAAGAAAAAAATAAAAACTGCCGTTTTTGATCATCAAGACACAAGAGAAGAAACTATTAAAATACTGTGATAACTTAAAATATATAGATTTAAAATAAATCATGATATTTATAATGCATTACAACTTTTACGTTCAACTAACACAAGCTCATATGCTGTCTCATTAATTCTTTTTTGACTTTGAGATATTTTATGACATAGGAAGCAAATAAAGATAATTTTTGATTGCTCGTCCAAATAATAATCTTCTCATACAGAAAGAAGAGGAAGTAATTTGGACATGATATTGAGTTCAATTAAGTTATGAATATAGTTGTTATAATAGTCAGACTCAATTGCATCTTTACTGTGATATGTAATGTGATTGTAACAAATCGTTTTACAATATATTGTTAAAAAATTTATTTTCTTCATCACTTTGTCTTTTATATGACATTTATTATTACATCAATCTTATGTAATATTCCTATTTAATTTATATAAGTTTCGATATATGTACTTTTAAGTATTACAGATTCGCCGATAACAAGACTAATGATATCTCATATGATCATATTATAGGTTAACGATTTTTTTTTTTAGGGTGGGTCAATAAAAATGGGTTGAGCAAGTCAAAAACAATGTTTTTGCGATTGATTCGATTAAAAAAAAAAAAAAAAAAAAAAAAAAAAGGTATATAAAATTCTTGTCTTTGTTATAAGTAAGGTATATTCAAAGCAATCGAGTCATCACGTGTTTACATGATGAAAGTAATATGTAAAATTAGTCGGTAATACAAAATAGTATACCGAAGTATAATAGCGAGTATGCATGAAGAATAGGTAATAAGTAATTTAAAAGACAAAAGATCGTACGATAGTATGATCGAATTATAATGTAATTAAGTAATTAAGTAGAGTCAAAATATAGTATAAAGAAAGAAAGCGAAATTAGTAAAAATTTGGTAGTTACTCTTTAATAAAAATAATCAATCGAACCCAATAAAGAAATACTTGCCCCAGTTGTAAATTCGAACCTTGAGCGAGATCTAATTAGTAACTTTAGTTACTAATATAACCACGACGCTAGACTAATTAATAAGTCTAATTTTAAAAATCTTATTTTTGCTTATTTGCTTGTTTCCAATGGAACATTATACTTGCGAAATTATTCCTTCAATCCGTGGAAACCCCACAATCAACGTTCATGGTTTTATTATGATAAAGGATAAAAATAGAAGAGATCTATATTATTGGTGTTGTGAGAAGCGTGATACTTTTGATTGTGGTGGGCATGCTACTACTATACTAGTTGGAGGAGAACATATTTTGCGACAAGCAGGAGGACATAATCATGCTGCTGATGCAAGTCGAGCTGGTGTTAGAAAATTAACTAATCAAATAAAAGAACATGCAAAACAAACACTTAGTCCTCCATCGCAGATTATTCAATCTGTTATTGCAAATAACCCCCAAAATATTTACCCATATATTCCATCTTATAATGCACTCTGCCAAACAATACGAAGGGTTCGACGTTCAGGCCTTCCTTCTGGTTCAAATTCATTAGATGAATTTGTCATTCCCGATGATTTAAAAAAGACTTTAGATGGCTCAGACTTCTTAATTAAAGATTCGACTATTGGTAGTGAAAGAATTCTACTTTTTACTACAATTTCAAATATTCGATATTTAAGCCAATCCTTAGTTTGGCTAATGGATGGAACCTTTGACACTGTGCCGACTATTTTTCGGCAATTATATACGATTCATGGGTCTGTTGGAGGGGATAGTAACTCCAGAATCCTGCCTCTTGTATATGCCTTGATGTCTAGTAAGTCAGAAATTTGTTATAAACGACTATTTCAAGACCTGGTAGACTTTAGCAAAGATCATAATATTAATTTACAACCTGAATTCGTTTTGACGGATTTTGAGCTTGCTTCTATAAATGCATTACAAAATGGTATTTATTATATTATTTTAATATTTTAATACACGGTCCCTTTTTTTAAAATAACCTTATATATAGAGATTATAATAATTATTATCAGAATTATTATATATAAAAAGCTTTTTAAAAAAAGGGACATGTACTAGGACTTTTTTTATTTTATTTTATTTTATTTTATTTTATTTTATTACGCGAATTGGCATTCTACTAGGACTTTTAAAACACTGTAGTTTATACAATATTAGCTAATATATATATATATATTTTATATTTAGAATTTCCTGGTACCCAAAGTAAGGGATGTTTCTTTCATTTGTCTCAGAGTGTCTATCGAAGAGTTCAAGCTGCTCATCTAGCTAATCGGTATGGAGATGATGAAGATTTTAGTATAGAAATT